TTTGATTAACAAACTGTAGCAATGTCATTAGGGCTAATATTATCTCAATATCTTCACCACCAATCAGAATGTAAGCAACAGCTGAGAAGTAAATGGAACAGCAATATTTTCTTTCTTGATTTATAAAACACTAGTGCTTGGGAAAATTTCCAGAAATTATGAAACTAGTTCCATCAACTTTATTTTACAAAGAAAAAGACAGTACCATAATGCAGCAAACTAAATATTCACCAACAAAAAAGTGACATACAAATTTAGAAATTTTACAAAATCTATATTAAAGACTCATGTTAAAGAAAACTAAAATCACAAATTATTTTTAAAATCTCAACAAGAATACTACATACCAAATACCAAAACCAGTTGGATGCAACTGAAAGCAAATTCAGAGAAAACATAGTCCTAAAATAAATGTATTAGAAAAACAAAAAAAGATGAGAAGCTAATCATTCTGTACAAAAAGAGGAAAAAGAAACAAGTGAATGACAGCAGAAAACCAAAAAATTAAGCAGACTTGGTTTTTTAAAAAAAAAGATGGCTCTGAACTTTCAAGAGATCTGGTTGGGGGGTTGGGCGTAATCATATGCAACATCAGAAATAAGAAAAAAATTGTAACAACAGATTTTGAGAATAAAACACTTTCCAAGATTTCGTTACTCGTTAAAAACTCTTGAGCTTCCACTGCAGTGGGTGAGGGTTGATCCCAATATGGGGAACTAAGATCCCACGTGACAGGAGGCAAAGCCAAAAAAAAAAAAAATTGCAAGTTTTGTGTGACAAAACATACCATAAACATAAGAGACAAAAAACAGATTTAAAGATGATATTTGTACTATAAATAACAGAAAAAAGGATAAATTGCCAGAAAAGGTACAGAACTCTTAAAAATCAGTAAGGAAAACACAATGTAGAAAAGAGGCAAAAAAAAAAAAAAGGCCATGCAATTTACAGAAAAAGAAAGTGGCCAGCCAGCAAACAAAAAATGCTGGACCTCAGAGATATCAAGGCAATGCAACTTAAAACTGGGTACCATCTCGCACCCACCAATTCGGCAAAAAGGAACTTATTGAAATTATTAATCAGTGAGTATTTCTGAGGATGTGGAGGAAAAAAAATTACTTGCCAAAGAGAATGCAAACTAATATAAAAACAGAAGAAAGCTGAAAATGCAAATACCCTATTTGTTAAACAAAGAGATCTGAATAAACCTTCTTCTCTGCTTCCTCTCTCAAACTTCCACTGGAAAGACAATAAAAATTAAAAAGATATAACTGCCCTAGGACAAAAAGAATGGGAAAGAGCACAACAGCATACAAGAAGTTCCAATGAAAGTTTCTAAAAGGTGAAAGAAAAGTGAATAAATGAAGCAGAAAAAGGTGAAAATCTAACTGACTAGAGAGAAAGCAGGCAAACTGCGCAAAGAAGCCAGACAGGAAACTTGAGGGGACTTCCCTGGTGGTCCAGTGGTTAAGACTTTGCCTCCACTGCAGGGGATGTGGGTTCCATTCCTGGTCATTTGAAGATCTTTGGAAGAAATTTTGGGGCTCCCAGATCCTCCACTATGAGGACAGGCTCACCCTCAGGAAAATGTTCAGGACAGCAAGCACAGCTCAGGTGGGCAATGAGCACAGCTGAGTGGGGACAAAGGGAACTGAGAGCCTATTGAAAGTGAAGTCAAAGAGTTAGTTTCTCAGAAATGTCTAACTCTGAGGTTCTCTGCCCATGGGATTCTCCAGGCAAGAATACTGGAGTGGGTTGCCATTCCCTTCTCCAGGGGATCTTCCTGACCACAGACTGAACCCAGGTCTCCCATGTTGCAGGCAGAGTCTTTACCAGCTAAGCCTACTGACGGTGCTGATCACCCACATCATGACCTCTCCCTCCTAAGGAAATCACGCATTTTAGCTGGGTATATGCATGCCCTTAATAAAAATTCCTTTACCTCTCCTACCCTTCTGAGATGTGGACATACATAATGGCTAATAACATGAGCAGGGTGTTGTGGGGCTGTTTTCAGGTAACATCCTAAAGGCTGAGCCTTCTACCTCTCCTCTCCCTCCATCCATTCCGTCTAAAAGTTGAGTTTAACTGCTATCTGGACCCTGGGAACGAGGACTCTAGCTTTTACAGAGCAGATAGCTGAAAGGAGCCTGAGCCTGATGAATTTCACAGCGCCATCCCTTTGCTGTGCTGTACTTAGTCGTTCAGTTGTGTCCGACTCTTTGTGACCCCATGGACTGTAGCCTGCCAGGCTGTTCTTGGGGATTCTCCACGCAAGAATACTGGAGTAGGTTGCCACGCCCTCCTCCGCGGGATCTTCCCAACCCAGGGATGAAAACCAAGCCTCCTGCACTGCAGGTGGATTCTGTACTGTCTGAGCCACCAGGGGAGCCCAAGAATACTGGAGTGGGCAGCCGATCCCTTCTCCAGGGGATCTTCCGGACCCAGGAATCAAACCAGGGTCTCCTGCATTGCTGAGCTACCCGGGAAGCCCATACCATCCCTAAGCTATCTAAACTACCCCTCTACCAACTTTTTACAGAAGACTAAAATCATAACTTAACTCACTGATAATCTGAGATCTCCCACATACAGCTGAATTCAACCCTCATACAGCAACACAGATGATATTAAAGCTAAAATAGGCTGATACAGAAAACTCCATACATGAATGCTGCCCACCCTCCATTTTTTCAATCAAATTTCAGAAAGCTGACAACCAGGCTTTTTCATGGAAGGAGACTGTAAGCTTTCTCTACAAAGAAATTAATCACCACAAAAGACTGGTATAAGCTGGTTATCTGGAGCTTCCCTGCCCAAAAAACCATCCCATCTGATCACCTAGTGTAAGATTCAATACTTACTGAGGCTCTCCTAACCAATTTGTACTTAAAGTCACTTTACAAAGGATAACATTCACTTTTAATATTACAACCCATAAACGTGTATTTTAGGAAATTTTAAGAGTTCGTCTAAAAACAAAAAAGCAAGTCCATCACTGGACCTACATATGTAGAGCTGTGTGCCAGGACTTACCAAGCTAGTTTCTATTCTTTAGGAATTAATTTAAATCTTCTTTTTCAAAAAGTTTATTAAGTTAAAATATGTAAATTAATGTTCAGTTTATACAATTACAGAAATATAACTATTAAAAGTAAAATATTCTGTGTAATTGAATGAACGCCCCATTAACAGGAGGCATACCAAAGATACTTTTGTACACACCTCCATTATAAAATGTAATACACTGTACTACTATCAGCTTACCCTAACTCCAAAGGCAAGAATCTGCTAATGTGAGGATAATGCAGAGATGCCTAAAGAAACCGTTTCAAAGAAACTATCTCTCAAAGAGCCCTAAAACCTAGGAACAGTTCTCACATTTAAGCCTGGGAAACTACTAAAATAATGAACAAATGAAAAATGTTTTAAACTTTTTTAATACTAACACTACTCACATTACCGATATTCATTATTCTTCCAAGTCTCAAGCCTCCACTGCTCCTTAAGTGTTGAGACCAAACCTAATGTACTCTTGTTTTCATTATACCATAACCCATGCTTTTTTAATACTACTAGTGAAAAATCCTCACTGAACGCTACTCAGGTCTACGTAAGAACTGCTTTGGAAATAATTTTAAGTACGTTAATTCTAAAGAATGTCTAAGTATTCATAGGTTAACTTTTTAAAAAGCTTATAGTAAGTATCAACCTAATGATCTTCGAAACCCAAGTCGTATCTTTAAAATTTACACCAAGGGGTCGTAATCTAAGTGATCTATTCAGTACCCTCCTTCTGGAAAACTGATTCCATACTAATACTACTTTAATCCATGCTGCACGGGAAAGTTAAACCAGCAGAGTGACTCAGAGGAGGGCAATTAGGCCATTTCTCACCACTGCACATGGGCACAGGCCAATCCAATCAGAGGCTTCCATGGACTTTTGCCAGGGCGCAGGAGAAAAGCACTCTTGTGTTAAGATCCTGACTGTTAAGACCACTGTAATTACAAGAGAGCCAGTGGCCACCTCCCCCGATTACAGGAACAAAGCTCTCCTAAAATGGAAACATCCTGGAGGCAGAATCATCTCCAGAAATGCCTAACGCTAAAGAAGCAATATTCATTGCCTTTTCAGTTACTGAGTTTAACCTGAGCAGCTCCTACTTGTGTCCTAATATAACTGTTTTTCCTATGAAACGAGACTACGTTAGACACAGGAAATGTGATTAAAAAGGTGGGCGAAAGAATTTTTAACTATAGAGTGCTATAAAAATGTCCTGCCATCCTAACTGTAAAGTACTACAGAAGAAACTCTCATTAAATACATCCTGAGTTCAATAAACATTTACTAAGACAACAAATTTACTCCATTATGTACATACCTGTTTGTAAACAAACTGATTAAAAGCAACCTATCTGGAACATTCTGTCACTCAAGTTTAATTTTAAATAATGGCAGCTCCTAAACCAATGGAATTCTCCACCTGTCTGTCGTTAGGTTGCGATGAACTTAGGAAGACGGCTCATTTCAAAGTGGACCGTATGGAGTAAGTACTAAACATGAGTTCCAGGACCCCAATTCTGCCACTTCCCTCAAGCAATTACTACTATGAAATCCCAACCTGGCCAACAAAGTTTTGCGGTGATGCAAAAATGGAAGAAGGGAGGAGTCTCACAGACTGCCCCCCCTCTCAAAAAAAAAAAAAAGTGAAGAAAACTAGTTCTGGGTAAATGAGGTAAGAGATCGAATACGTGGTGGGCCGTTCCTACCAGGTGGCCGGTCGACCGGGCCCCGGAGGACGGCGGCGGGCAGCCAGGGGAAGCGGGTAGGGTCACCGGGGCCTGCAGCAGGAAGGAATGCAGGCCACACCTACGCGCTGGGCCAAGCCGGGGTGGGGCGGCCGGCCCGGCCGTGGGTGTGAAGGAGTCAGGAAGGGCGAAGGAAGCAAGGCAAGCGGCAGGCCGCCGCCAGCCTCCCCCACCCGGCCCCAGGCCCACCTCAGCAGCGTCTCGAGCGCGCCCTCGTGCTTGTCCAGCGGGCGGCCGAGCGCGGCGCGCCGCAGCTTGCTGAGCTCCTCCGCCGCGCGGCAGTACTGGGCCTGCTCCTCCCCGCCGCTCGGGTACGTCTGCTGGATGAACTTCACCAGCGGCTTGGCCAGGTCCACCTCTGAGGTCTTTTTCAGCTGTACTGAGATGAACGCCGCCATGGCGAGCGCCTCGGCCGCCCTTCGGGCCAAAGACACCACGGGACCGCGACGAGGGCCGAGGCGCGCGGAGTACCGAGCCGGCGGACGGGCGGACTGAGGGGCTGACGGACGTGCGCTCCGCTTGCGCTTCGGGTCCGGCCACTTCCGGGAGCTCCGGCGCAGGCGCACTCGGCGCGCCGCCCGGGGTCACGTGAGGGAGTCGGGGAGCCGGCGCTGCTCACCTGGGCCCCATTCATCCTGGGCTAAACCTTGAGGTGCTAGCCAGCTCCACTCTGTGGAATTTTCTCTTTCCTTCTACTGCTTCGGCAGTTGGGCCGAGCACTTGCGTAAAAATAACTTCCTGCCCTTGAACAATGTCCCAGGGAAGTACTCCTGTCACTGGCACTGGCGCGAGTTAGCGGCCTCCTGCCCAAGACTTGGCTGCTTCAGGGTTATTGTGACCTGTGGTGATTGATTCGGCGGGGTGCTGTGCACACATGCTGTGTTCACAGTGAGTCGAACACACCAGGCCCTTGCTCTTGTGCAGCTTACTGTCAGGTATGGACACAGATGCTAAGGTGGACCAAAAAGAGTATCTTGGGGGTCTTCCCAGGTGGCGCTAGTGGCAAAGAATCACCTGCCAATGCGAAACAAGTATCTTGGTACAAAAAGCAGGGTGCTTGGGATGTAGGGTATGAGGGTCCCTCCAACGAAGCTAGTTTAAATAATTACAATTATTAAATAGAGACAGTTTTCGGAGGAAGTGAACTTTTTTTTTTCCTATTCCCCTTGTGTTTATTTTTTTTCTTTCTTTTTTTTTTTTTTATTAGTTGGAGGCTAATTACTTTACAAGGAAGTGAACTTTAAAAGACCTGCAGTTTGAGGGACTTGCCTGGTGGGCCAGTGGTTAAGACTGCATGCTTCCACTGCAGAGGGCTCAGGTTGGATGGAAGATGCCAAGCCAAGTGGCAAAAAAAGTTACTAATAGTTACATAAAGTACATTAAAAAAAATAAAATAAAAGGCCTGTAGTTTGATAAGATGCTTGACCTTAAGAGAAAGGAAGAGAAGAAGAGAAAGCAGTGGCTGGGGAGAGTCTCCCAGACCAAGGGGCAAAGGCCCTAGAAGGCAAGCACTTTCACTTCCCATGTTCAGGGAGTGGAAGCAGCCTGGCAAAAATTTTAAAAAGCAAGTAGAGATTGGATGAAATTAAATTGGAAGAGTAAGGCATCAAATCTTTCAGAACACTGTAAGCCAAGTTGAAGAGTTGGTAATGTAGCATAAATAGAAAAGAAGCTATAAATAGCATTTAAGCAATGGTGACATGATACCCTTAATGTTTAAAAGACCACCCTGTGCATCAACCTTGGTGTCATATGAAGTCTACAATATCATCATCTGTGATCTAGTCCAGTCAAAAATGTTTAACTTGACTCTTGTCAGTTGTTTGCATCTAACACAATTTATGAGAAATGCAGGGCATAAAAGAGCAAATTAAATGATACCATACAAAGTAACCAAGCAAATCCAGACGGTGGAGCACTGTGCAGAAAAACTGGTCCCATCTCTTTAAAAATTTAGAGTTGAGGGGGAAAAGCTCCTGCTCTATAAAAAGGAATTTGAGGGACATGGAGTCTGGATTGAATCCCAATTTGAACAGACTACCTTTGAAATGCCTTCTCAGGACAACTGAAGAAATTTGAATATAGATGGGCTGAATGTGAAATGGAACCAAAGCGCCATGGAAAGGTGGAGTTCGTTAACTGAAAGGCAAGTCACAAAACAATATGTATGTTACAGTATCTCATTTTGATTACAAAATGCACATATGTATATTTACCGAGTGTGAGAACAGACCAAGAAGGATTTCACCTAAGTTGTTAGTGTTGCCAAAACTTGGCCCATCTCTTCACAGAGAGGGGGGAAGAGTTTTGGGTGAGGTAGAAAGAGTAGCTTTTATTGCTTTGCCTGGCAAAGGGAGCCACAGCGGGTTTCTGCCATCAAGACTGTGTGACCCACTGTGAGGGGGTAGTGAGGAGTTTTATACTGGTCAGGGAGCAGGGTGTGCTCAGTTCATGGACAGTTCTTGGACTAGTTGACGTCAAGGTGAAATTTCAAGCATCATCAGTTCAGTCTAGAGCCCCTGTTCTTATGGTCAGCAGTTTTCATCTGGAGGGGGTCGGCTTCCTGTTACAAAATTTAGGAATATGTGTCAGGCCTTTATCTATATCTTTCAGGAAACTGTGAGTTGAGTGATTCTGCCATGTGGCTGAATTATAGTCTAAATTGTTACCAGTTCCCCAGCCCAGTAGCTGTTCTTTGTTTCTACATCTTCACATTTCCCAATCATTAACTCTTGAGTCAGCCTTTTACTTCAAAAGAAAATGATGCAGGGGCTTGTACACGATTTCATTAGCAGCTGTACTCTTTGGAAGTGAAAATGTATATATATTTTTGTTTATTTTTTATTTCCTTTATTTTTGCCTTTCTTTTTGTGTAATATTTTTAAATTCATTGATTTATATGACTGTGCTGCATCTTAGTTTTGGGATCCTTAGTTGTGGCATGCATAGTTTTAGTTGTGACATGTGGGATCTAGTTCCCTGACCAGGGATCAAACCTGGGTGCCATGTGCTGGAAGCACAGAGTTCCAGTCACTGTTCAGTTCAGTTCAGTTCAGTCACTCAGTCGTGTCCGACTCTTTGCGACCCCATGAGCCGCGGCACTCCAGGCCTCCCTGTCCATCACCAACTCCCAGAGTTTACCCAAACTCATGTCCATTGAGTCGGTGATGCTTTCCGACCATTTCATCCTCTGTCATCCCCTTCTCCTCCTGCCCTCAATCTTTCCCAGCATCAGGTCTTTTCAAATGAGTCAGCTCTCCGCATCAGGTGGCCAAAGTGTTGGAGTTTCAGCATCAACATCAGTCCTTCCAATGAACACCCAGGACTGATCTCCTTTAGGATGGACTGCTTGGATCTCCTTGCAGTCCAAGGGACTCTCAAGAGTCTTCTCCAACACCACAGTTCAAAAGCATCAATTCTTCGGCGCTCAGCTTTCTTTATAGTCCAACTCTCACATCCATACGTGACTACTGGAAAAACCATAGCCTTGACTAGACGGACCTTTGTTGACAAAGTAATGTCTCTGCTTTTTAATATGCTGTCTAGGTTGGCCATAACTTTCCTTCCAAGGAAATTTTCCTTCCAGTCACTGTACCACCAGGGAAGTCCCTTTTTGTGTAAGTTTTACAGCATATATACTGCTTTTGTTATGGAAATTTGGCCACAGTTTCTTTAATTTTTTAAAGTTTATTTCAGTTAAAATGTTCCAGGTTAAAATAAAATAGCCATGTAGAGAATGCATTAGAGGAAGGCACGGTAGAAGCAGGGAGCCAAACCATAAGACCATTTCAGAAATTCAGGCAAGAGATCATGAAAACTGGCATTAGCAGCAGCGAGCCAGGCTCCCAGATTTGGGGCCTGAACCTCTGAGCTGTCAGTGGGATCATTGCCTGATATATTAAAAAACAGAAAACAAATGAGAAATTTCTTGGCAGTCCCTTGGTTAGGACCCTGCTCTTACTGCCTAGGTCCTGGGTTCATTCCCTGGTTGGAGAAGGAAGATCCCAGAAGCCGCATGACATGACCAAAAAGAAAAACAAACGAAAAACTGATGGATAATCCACCAATGGGCTCAGAAGATGGGAAGTGTTTATACCAAGCCTTCAAATGGAGTCCCTAAACTGACAATTGGGTATATGAGATTCAAGCTCCAAGAAGAGGTCTTATTTGGGAATCAACAGCGAGCATACAAATTAATTATAAACCTCTGGGACTAGAAAGGAACACAAAGAAATCGAAATTGATCGGAAGCTATGCTGGGATGTGCTTAGTCGCTCAGTCGTGTCCGACTCTTTGAGAACCCATGGACTGTAGCTTTATACGCTCCTGTGTCATGGGAATTCTCCAGCCAAGAACACTGGAGTGGGTTGCTATGCCCTCCTCCAGGGGATCTCCCCAACCCAGGGATTGAACCCAGGTATCCTGCATTGCAGGTGGATTCTTTACTGTCTGAGCCACCAGGCAAGCCCAGGAAGGAACACAAAAGAAATCAAAATAGATCAGAAGCTTTCAGGAAATATAATACCAGATTATGTTTTTCTTAAGACAGAAATAGAGAATTTTGTACGCTGGCTGACAGGACTGATGCACTGGGAAGAGGATGAAGATTCAGAAGAGCTGAGGATAACCAAAGGAGCCAAGTGCCTGAAAAGAGGAGAGGAAAGTGTGACCAGAGCAGGGATGGTCTAAGAAGAGGGATTAACTGTCAGAAAGATGAGGGATGTGTCCTTCGTTGAGGCAGATGGAGGGAAAAAGGAAATGAACATTGGTGCGGTTAAGTGTGGCATTGATCCCCGGGAGATTAAGATGATCTTATCTGACAGAACCTGATCTATCTCCGTATATCTCTCCAACTTCATGTTTGCTTCTTGTTCCTCATTTATTCCTTCCTAGTCACATTGGTCTTAGTTCCTCAAACTCTAAGATCGTTCTTTCCTCATATGACCTGGAACACTTGACCCCTTTCTTCATATGCTGGAAGAAATGTCTCCTCTCCAGCACACCATCTAAAGTAGAACCCCCACCTCTTGTTAAGGTCCAACTCAGCCATTGTTTATTTGCTTCATAACACTTACCTCATAGCAAATATTTTGTTCCTTGATTTAATTTTTTCTGACTATTATATAAGCTCTTTAAGGGCAAAAAATTTTTGTGTTTGTTTGTGTACTATTAATCTCCAGCTCTTAGCACTTCGTAGGCAACTCAGTGAATATTTTTGAATGAGTGAATGAGTTTCACTACTTGCAAAAAAGAAAGAAAAAGTCAACTATCAAAATAACACACTTTCCATGGACCTCCCTTCAGTGTTTGGGACTTCATCTTCCAATGCAAGGGGTTCAAGTTTGATCCCTGATCTGGGAACTAAGATTCTCACATGCCTCTTGGCCAAAGAACCAGAACATAAAACAGAAACAGTATTTTAACAAATTCAATGAAGACTTAGAAAATGGCCCATATTAAACACACACACACACACGTACACACTTTCCCCTCAATAGCTTGTACCCTCATTTATTAGGCCTTAGGCCAGTGGCCAAAGAAGGAGGGTAT